TTGGCGTCGAAATGGCGTCTGTCATTGACAAAGCCGTTGGTGCTATTGATCCTTCTCGTGAAGCATTGATTGAATCGAGTTAGTTTTACGGGGGTGGCGCCTGTTAGACCACTGTTAGATCCTAGCTCTCGATTCCCTGAACGAGACCCATGATGTTGATAAGAGTCAAGCTTCGGGGAGCAAGAAAACATCAAATACTGATATAAGGTGTCAAAACAAACTCAGCAAAAATTATTCTAAGTTAAAAAAAGAGACATACTAAGTTTATACTAGTTTACCTAAATCTTTTCATAGTTTAGGATCAGGATCTCGAATTTTCTTTCACCCCCTAGTTGAGGAACAGGCGAGGTACTGTTAGAGCTTCTCGCTAAGGGTCATCCTTGTGAGGCTGCCTAGCGTTATCTCCAGATCAAATCGCCTCTTCAAATTAGTAATATACCAGTTGAAAGCAATGATCTTTGAGATGCTGCCTGAAATTTTGACTGGTTTTCTGAGAGGAACGGTAGCTCCCCAGCCTCTGGGTGACATATATGTGAACTTTCTTTGTCAATCCTGGTTTTGAAGTTGTCGTAGAGATGTTTCACTCAAAGAAGATTGCGAAGATGTCGTTGAGGCGATGGGCCTGTTTGGTTCCATAGGGCACCAAAGTGCCACTATAGCGGTATAGAGTCGAAAATTTGATAAATCAAACACGATGGTATATTTACATGGTCCTTCAAATAGATCGTTTGGGTCCGCAAGAGAGGAGGCATTGCGCTTAACGAGACACAGTGCACTATATGACATGAAACAGATATGGATTCAGAACTATTGGTATCGGGATGTTAATCTTGTATCTGTATAAAAGACAATGGACCAAACGAACAAGCTACTCTAAGGTATTTGCATGTAGCAAAAGGAATAATTACGAAGCTCAGTGTTTTGATATGGATATCATCGATATTTAAGATAGTACTGGGAGCTGATCTATGTGAATGCTATCCCCTCCGTTCCCAACTCAAGACAAGGTAAACTTACTGTCACTAAAAGGGAATGTAGACATTCCCAAATACTATCTGTAAAAAACTCATGATACAACGGCAATGAAACTATGTGTAAAACTTTGGGATTCTTTGTGTCTATGTCAGATATATTGCCCCGATAAAGAACAAACAGTAAGTCAGCAACCTTCCACTAGGCAGGAAGGAGAGTAGGATCAATAAGAAGACGAAGTGTGAAGGTCTCTCTAAACGTATCAAGTTCAAGTGTATTTTTACTGAAGCTTTCAGTAAGACGCGAGCTCTGAATTTAGTATTAAGCAATCATGTTGTGACAGTCGAGTTGTTGATCGCCACTTCGCCCTACTCCCACGACGCCATCTTCAAGCGACCGAATGAGTGTTCCTTCAGGATATCTCCGAATAGACCTTCAGGTCTCAATGGACTTATTCGACAACAGTGCTCTCAGTGACACCATCGACCTTAAAGGGATGGTCTTCGATTCCAAGGTTCGACCCATCCGCGACCGTAAGACTGGTCAGTCGCCACTTACAACGGTCAGTTATTCTCACACACCCTCTTTTATAACGTCTTAATCCCACTATTATTATAAGATGCATGTACTTCAGCCCTGAGCGTGACCTCGTCGAGCAAGCTATCAAGATGTCCAGCGCTAAGTTGAGGGTAAAGTGAACTTTGTCGTTTATAAGCTTTGTTAATCGTTGGACGTTCCAGCGAAACTTCTAACCTCTACTCTGCCTATGAGAGCAGCATGGATACTCTGTATATGGACTGGACTTCTCAAGACACACCTGACTTCATTGCCATCTAGGCTATCCGTCTCGAGAACTACGGTGCCAGGAGGATCAAGGACGACAAACCCCTTGCGGGTGTCTAAATGCATCATGGCATGACGGCTTGGACAGAGGTTGCCATAATTGGGCGGCGCAAACCTGTACGGCTCAATGTCCGTCGTAAGTAGTTCATGCTCGCGTTTACAAGAAGAAGAAAAAGCTATTACCAGTAGTTGTTGTAATTGGAATGAAATAGAGATAGCTCGTTCACTTGGTAAGACAGGACTCTTCGCCTCGCGATAAATCGTAAACCTGTCCTCGACCGTTTCCATCCTTTGTTCCTGGAAAGTCGAGCTTCAACCTCGATCGCGGCGATTGTTGCATGGAGACTTGGCAGATATCCATGCTGTCAGGCGGCATTTTTTCCAGCTGAGGTGGGGGTTATCAATCACAAACATGATATCGTTCATCCCCGATAGATACTAGAAAATGATCTTGATGTTGCACCTATATACGTAGTATTACATGAAAGGTTGAATGGAAAGGCCGTATTTGGTCGTCAATCATGTATCAATACTAGGAGATAATGGAATGTTAGTGGCCGGAACAGCAGACTTGAGGCATACAGCAGTATCGGAACTCCCGATGTGTTTTCTGGGTGATTCTTGAGAATCAAACCAGATACACCTTTTCCCTTTCATATTTTCCATTGCTCGATTGTTACTGTTGTTGGATGCAACCTTCGTTTACTGGGATGTCACAAAATTGGATCCTTCTTGGCACTCAGCGTCCGTCTTGGCATCGGATTCTAGACAAAGCTCAGTCTTGGCGTGTCATGATAAATTTGTCCGTCTGACATTTCCTGCAGCCGATTTCCGCCTGAATATACTGTATCAAAGTATCATCGTTTCCGATTCAAAAGTTTCGTTCTTTTTATATCCAACTCTTCTAACGTGCCCCTGTTTCGTCGAACATTTTACTCACACCAAAATTCCATCACCACCTGTTAGCTCACAAGCTCAACCTCAACCTCGGCCGCCCAGACCTTGGCACTCTCCGCTGATGCTTGGCTGGCCTCTGGCCCCTCCGAACCCGGTTTCTTGAGAAAAGGAGCTGTTAAAAAGGTCGTCATTTCGCGCTCGAGCAATTCTTGTCTTGACTTATCTGCGCATACCTTGACGATAACCCTTGTTTGCGCGCGCATCTTTGTAACCACGGATCTTCGCTCTGCATTTCCACAAGCTCTGATTGGCTCGACTCGCCTCTACAAACTCTTTTCATCCCTGCGCGACGAGCTAGTCAACCATGTCCCCACGCTCCAAGTCAGTTTGGCTGGCGCTGTTGGCTGCGAATAGCTTCGCATATGCTAGCGAGGAACCGCCTGCTGTAACGACAGCGCCTATTTATCTGCCCTATTACGACGAAGACTCGTGGTCTCTTGTGCGCGGTAGCGTCATCTCAAGCGTGGGTTGACATTATTTGCAAACTCCATCATAAGTGCTAACACACGCCAGGATGCGAAAGCTAAGGAAACAACATACACAATATTCTGTCCAGATACAGATGACTCAGACCCTCCAGAGTGTGATTTATCCCTTGAATTCCCTTTCGTTTTAGTTGAAGGGCCTGATACTGTTCGCTTCCATGGCACGCACACCTCAAGACTGTATGTTCTCTGTGTACCTACGACATACCAATGCTAACATGGTGCAGCACCGCAAATCTAGAGTGCAACCTACAAGGCACGACAAGGGCCACCTGTTCCGGATACTCTAGTTTCGACGAGGGTTACAACGATGGCGTGCACACAGGCCCAACCGAAGTGACATGGACATCAACTTATTCCGGCAGCGAAGTAGAATGGGGTGTCCTGACAATGGGCGAACTTCCCCATGACCCGGACCCCGTTACTGCAGTTTCGAGTACACCGACGGACTTTGTGTCCATGCCGATATCTACAAATGGCGATAATGCTGGAGCAAATTTGAGCGTCTCCTTCACGGCCACTTTACTTGCTGCATGTTGCACTTTGGTGGTTGGTTGGCTTCTTTGAGAACTGGACTATTTATTGATGAGAACACGATTTATGATGGGCTTCAGGAGCAAGCGAGCAATTATCCTTGTTAAGTTTTGATCATGTTTAATACACCATGCTCTCATATTAGCTAATATTAGTCAAAATGATAACAAATTTGACGAGCCAGAGTAACATTGCCCTTAGACGAGCCTGAGGTCTGTTGATCAGCGTTCTAGCGATGGATTCAGGTGGTTCTGATACCTCAAGGCGTCGGGCTTGTTTTTCGATATTATCCTGTAATTGATGGTAGATGCTGGTTCATGCATACCTGGGTGTTTCCAACAGAAGTCTATTCAATGATATCAGGTGACCATTACAAGACAGGGCCGAAATATAGCAAATCCTCAGAGCAAGGCGAAGGCATATAGCGGGGAACACTGTCTAGTAATATAGCAAGTGTCCTCATGCATTTGTATAAAGACGTTTACAGAAATCGCGTCAGGTGAAACAGGGCTGCTTGTTCGGGACGCCATTATCAGGCGAGGGCCATGTTCGACTAGGGAGAGTTGAGCTTCAAGTTTCAGCGGAATCGAGTGGAAATGACAAGTCAGAAATCTTCATAGGGAAGAGAAGAGTTCTGTCCTGGCCCCGTTCTTCATGTATGGCCGGATGCTCTCACGACCGGATGGTAATCTCCACTTTTCCGGTCCGGAAATCCCGGCCCGACCGTGACGCGTGCCGAAATGGCAGCATTCGCACATTGTTACAAGTACTCTCACTTCAGCTTGAGTGAAGCTCATTGGTAACTTTTGGAAGAATGTCCATGAGCGGAAAGTTGTTGATGCGGTTGAACTATGTGTGCCACAGTTGGTGTGGACAAGCCGACTGTTGCCAGTATCTGCACAAGCGTTTTTCAAGAACGACCCTTGCTTCTGAAGAACAGCATCAGTGAAGAAGTGACCGGAGAAGTCAGAAGACTTATTCTCAGAGAATTCCAGCAAGTAATGCTATCGGAAACTTAGAGTGACGGTCACAACACTGTAAATGGAAAATGTGCCATTGCGATCTCAATTCTTGGAATTCCTTATTGGGTTTGAGGCTCAGAATTGTGGAGACTTCGTGCTTAAAGCTAAAGTATCCACTTTCAGCACAGACGTGCGGAAAATCCCTCGAAGTCGAAAATAGTCGATTCCAACGCCATCTACAAAACAGGGCACAGTGGCCGAGTGGTTAAGGCGATAGACTTGAACGGGCCTCCAAGAGGTTCTAGACATCTATTACGTTCGCGTTCGTAGGTTCAAATCCTGCCTGTGTCGATACAGCTCCATTTTTGCGTTCCAAACGTATTCTGTCACTTGAAACTTCAGCCATGAATCACACATTCAGTTTTGCACCTACGAAGACGCTTTTGGGATGACAAGATAGACACGAAACAGTAGTTGGGTTCTGTCTTTTGTAAATTTGAATTACGCTGCATAAGTGTTGAGATATCACATCTTGAACTTTCCTGTTGATCTGGTTACACAATGGACTGCATTGCTGGCTGCGTAACCGCTCGCCTTAACGAATGTTGATATACATAATGTTATTTGAATGCTTCTCACTATAGATAGATAGCTACCAAGGGTTGTCAGAGAAAATTGTTCATGCAATCGATGTATTTGCGTTGGCATACCTATTGCTGGTACACCAACTGAGTTGGCGTGTTAGTTTATCTCTACGATCTGGCAAATTTTAAGCGAGCTTGCTTGATACAACACAACGACTCTGAAGAAGCTCTGTTTATCATCGGAATTCCATCCATTTGCTGATGTTCTCAAATAACCAACTCAGGTGAGGTTGGCTTTGTCGATTTCCTCTTTCGGCCACATGTACGGTGTCGCTTAATTTAAGCTCAGCGGCTCGCTTGCATTGAAGATTTGTTGGCAGAGAGGGATTTCATGCTACTCCCTTCCAATTCTCACTGCAGACTTCAACAATAGCAGCCATTCTCTCAGCCATATGAGGTTTGGCTGTTCATTGTATAGCCATTCGTCATTCGTGAGCAACCGGATGCACCACAAAACCATGAGTGTGAACACAATTTTATGATTCGATCGAATATAAAGATACGCTGTGTTGATATTGTTATTTTGTGTTTGTCATTAAACTTTCAGCGCATGCATTATTTGATGATTACGCGGCACTGGGAATGGAGGCGAAGAACGGGAAATGGCGGAGAGAAGGGATAAGACGTTTGAGAGACATGGCGACTGGCCGTGTCTTGAACCGCAAAGGCCAGCGCGCTGTAGCATTTACTGGTTAAATGCAGTCTCAAGAGTATGCCTTGCTCATTAACGTTTCCAGCCAACAATGGTATCATCTGAAGGAGAGAGTCAGCTCATGTATGCCCAAAACTCTGCCTATCGGGCTCAATGGATTTAGATTAAGTTGATCTGAGTGAGAAGCGGCCGGCCCCTGGTTCTGAGATCTGGTCCAGAACTACACCAGAGGTTGTCTCACTAAGAAAAGACGGTGCCACGGCAAGACAGCTAATTAGCACTGCTGACGGGCTTGCAAGGCGGCTCAAAAAGGAAGACAACATCCGGCCAAGCTCCGGTAGCTTCACAACCATACGAAGACTGCATTTTTAGCAAACATGGAAAAGCACTCTCGTCTAACAGAACTCACGAAAGAAGACATTTGGTTTGCCAGAAGACTTGGGATCCTAAACCAGGGGGCAGGAATAAATATGTACAAGGGCCCGCCAGAATTTTCCTGAGATCTTCTGAATCGACATAGATATTTTTATCACTTAGGAATGAAGTCCTGGGTTTTCTGCGGCCACCAAGAGTGTAAGGATCTTAGATTCCGCCTGCATCCATCCCCACATGTAAGACAAGAAGCTTGGCCTTGAGCTTCTTCCAATGTCGGAACCGACCCGAATCTCGTAAACAATGCACAGACCTAGGCCGACTTTTTTACAGTTGCTTTTACTTCGAGTCCTCTAAGAATGCGACTCTCAAGTATTTCCCACGTGTCTGGGTTGGAAAAAAGCGCGGCATGACAACACGGCAAAGTCGGAAACGCTGCAATCAAGATCAGACGAGAGAAACGTCCGGCGTTGTTTCGTGTTTCAAGATCTCCTTTCTTGAGCATCGCGTTTCGTCAGTGAGTCAGGCTTTGAGACGATCATTTTTGCGAAAGCCCATGCAAGGGCAGGGGAAAAGAAAGGTTGCTGGGGGTGGGGGCAGTGGAGATGAGGACCGTAACGTTAATGCAGAGTTGATGGGCAAGGATATTGAGTTTGTGTTGCTCGAGTTTGGATGAGGCATGGTTACGCAGCAGAGAACATCAACTCTGTACATGAACCGGTCCTGTTTCGCCAGGTCTTCCAGAAGAATATCAGCCTTCAATGCCTTGCGATGATCCCCAAAGTCCACTAGCCAGGGCATGAACATTGTGGCGCCAAGCCTCTTCCTCCAACTTTTGACGCCCACCAATCCCCTCCCCAGAGGTATCTGTCAGCTAGAGTTTAGTGGCATTTACCCCTGGATCCTACAGTACCTTGCACTAGATTCATGTTCCTGGGAAACAAAAACTGTGGTTTGGTGACCGACAATCCTCTACCCGCGCGGCCAGTCGAAACAGCCCGTTCTTTGTGTCTGTAACACCAACATGATTACAATGTTCTACTGGCCACAATCAACGGCTGATCGCCGAGAACAGGGCCTTCAGGGGTTGTGTTCCTTGCCATGTCCGTCTGCGGGGAGAGCTCGGTAACCCATTCTCCATAGAATGTAGAGGTCATCATTCAACGGTTGACTTTGTCTGAGGCTCATCAGCTAAAGTCTTAGTCTACGCCTGAACCCAGCATGATTCGTCATTCGTTCCTCAAGATATCCTCCCTGTGTGTCTAACTCTGAAAACAGTCCGCCAAGCAAGGGTATCATGTATTAATACCTAGATTAGCCCCCGTCGTCTATCAACGTTTTGGACTAGCCCAGTCCAGCCTGAAAAGAACAAACGCCTTTGGAGCTTCAGCTTTAGCTCATTGCGTTCTCGTATTCCCGTTCCCTCTCAGCTGTGATTGTATTTTTATCTTTCGGTGGCCCCTCCTTCGTTTATTATTTCTTCTTATCTTACTTTTCGTACCCCCGAAGGCGTCCTCAACTTTTACGCCTGATTTTTTCTCTCGTAGCTACCTACCTTGTGGTAGCTTGATTTGTTTTCACTTGCGCCTCGCTCTTTCTTGAATATCAAGACACTCATTCCATATCGCTTGCCGTTACCTGCCTTGAACTTACACTCATTATCGGACCTATGAAAACTATCAACTTACTTACTGTCAGCACCCAAAAGACTTGCATCGATCTTCCAGGAGAAGAATATCGCTGAGCGATCAAGGATCTTAAGCATACTCAAATAGACACCATACACCATACCCATCATCAACAATAGGCACATTATGAAGCTCCTCGCCTTGGCCAGTTTGGCTTCTGTAGCCATCGCTACCAAAACGCCTCCCAGTTCACTTGACACTGCAAATCCAGGTATGTTCTGCGGTCAAATGGTGTTCAGGTTCACTAACCATTCCAGATTCAATCCGAGATGTAGCAGGCACCCTCGCCTTCGATGCCATGAAGTACTATAGTGGCAACACATCATCAGTACCCAAAGATCTCGGCGACCTTCAAGATCCATACTACTGGTGGGTAGCTGGTGCCCTATGGGGTGTCATGCTCGACTACTACCACCTTACCGGAGATTACAGTTACAATGATGTTGTCATCCAGGCTCTTCTGGGGCCTACAAATCTCGGCGCTGGTAAGGACTACATGCCTGCAGAGCATGCCGACGAGGAGGGTAACGATGATCTCTTCTTCTGGGGCTCAGCTGTCCTCTCCGCTGCTGAGCGAAACTTCCCTCAGCCCAACAAGAACCTCCCATCATGGCTCGATATCAGCATCAACGTTTTCAACGAGCTTGCGGGCCGATGGAATACAACAGCTTGTGGCGGTGGCCTCTTGTGGCAGATCTACCCAAGTAACCCGAATGGCATGACATACAAAAACTCAGTCAGCAATGGCGGTTTCTTCCAACTCGCAGCACGTTTAGCTCGTATCACTGGCGACAACAAATATCTCGACTGGGCTCTCAAGATCTGGGACTGGTCCTGGGAAGTCGGCTTCATTGATCACCGCAATTATCACGTCTATGACGGAGCCAGTGTAGAAGACAACTGCCAGAAGACAACATACCATTCTTTTACTTATACCAGCGGTATATATCTTTACGGCGCGGCGGTTCTCGCCAACTACACTGAGAAGCCGGAATGGGTCGATCGCTCAAAGCGTCTCTTAGAGGGCACCGATTGGTTCTTTTCGCCATTTCCCAACGCGACCAATGTCATGTACGAAGCTGCTTGCGAGACTGTCAACACATGCAACGACGACATGTCCACCTTCAAGGGTTATCTAGCACGATTCATGTACCTGTCTATTCAGATGCAGCCCGCTCTGAAGGAGCATGTCCATGCTCATCTTCTCCCATCGGCCAAGGCTGCTGTCCAAACATGCACAGGAGGGAAGTCTGGCCGTGAGTGTGGTATGCGATGGTATAACTCCGGTTTCGATGGAAATCCCGGTCTTGGGCAGCAAATGTGTGCGCTTGAAGCTGTTCAGGGCCTGCTGCTAAGTGATGCTCCTGCGCCGCTCAAGGGCGATGATGTCAAGGTCGTCCGCAGCACAGACTGGGCTGCCATGGAAAAGGACGATTCCAAAATCAAGAGTACACCAACATCCTCATCAGAGACATCATCAGCGACTGCAGCTCAGCCTACAAAGAGTGAAGATGCTGCTAGCATCCCCCGGGCGGATCTCGTTCTGGCTTCGGTCAGTATTGGAAGTGTCTTGGTGTTCTTGGGATGGGCCTAAAAAGACGTATTGGATATTCATTAGACCTTATAGATATAGAATGGAACTGGCGTCGGGTAGTTGGTTAACCGGTCTTAGAGACTACTTTGGTATAAAACGCTCATACTCTGAGTGTTGCTTTTATTAATTCCACGAGATTACGTCTAGAAGGTCTGGATTCGACGTAGAACTCCGTCGTTTTATCGCCCTTTTCCTATTTAGTGCTCCAGTTTATGAGCCTCTCACCTCAGCCAACGTCGTCTTTAGTGACTCCAGAAATCTTGTCACCTCGGCGTCTGTGCCGACTGTAATTCGTAGACAACCTTGGCATCCGTGCTCTTTTCCTCTGAATCGCACAACGACACCCTTACCCTCAGCAAGCTTCTCATATACGGCCAACGCGACAGTATTATCCGGCTCGC